TTATGTCAAGAGATAGAAGTGTCCCTAATTTTACTGAAGAGTCTTCGCAGGAGGTGAGTTATTAAACACTGGCTTATAATCTTATTTTTTAAAGCCTAGATTTTTCAAAACTAATCCATGGTAAACACATTTCTCATTTCATTATTCCCTTCACTGTTAAGAGTTAATAACAATAAAAATGAGTTCTTTAGAGGCAATGGTCAAGACTATAGACTTCATTTATTGTTATATTTAATAATACATTTCTAAGCTGAGAAAGGAAAGTGAGGGAAAGTGGAAAGTAGTTAAAGCTGCACTGTCTCAGATTTCACCATGCAATAAGCAGATTCACTAATGTGTTCATCATGAATGTAAGAAACCACCACTGTTTACTGTAGATGGGTAAAAAGCTTCAAGTGTGGTATAAAGTTGGTCATTTAGACAAGCCTGTATGTGGCCATCTTCCTACAGCGCTGTTTAATATTTAATTATAAAAAGAAGCCTGCTTTACATTCCGTGGTGCTATTAGGTGTCTTTTCTCAGAAATGTGGCTTTTCTTACTGCTGCTCGCCAGTATAAGATATGACTTATTTATGAGAATTAGAATTTACAGCATGTGAGGCACAGGCTTGTTGGAACAAATATACAAAAGTTTTAAATCTTTTAGAGGATTAAAGTGATTTTTGTTAACATGACCAACTTTGATTTCATATTTAAATAAATCTTTCTTGGTTTTGCTAACAGACCTGCCACTGGGTGGGAAGCCCAGAGACTTTGAAACCTGCCCGGGTTCCATCAAGTGCTAGCTTTCCCTTGTGAGCCAGGGGACTCTAGGCAGACCGCTTGATTTTGCTGATCCAGTTTCCTCAGCTCTAGGATAGCAGGAGTAACAGCACACACTTGCTAGAGCTGCACAGAGTAAACGTGAGAACACGCAAAGCATTTACATTGGGTCTGACACTTCGAGTATGCACCTGTCTTATGTTCACTGCAGGGATGTTAAGAGTTGAAATTATGCCTGGAAAGTTCTGAGCACATGGGGTGACGCACAGAAGCAGTCAAGGATAGCTGTTACTATGTGGTTGGTGGTTTAAAGCACGGTGCAGACGTGAGCTGTTTGAATCGTACCTTTTCTCTAGCCAGGGAGGCAGAGTTCCCCACAGAAGCAGAATAACCTGCCGGACCAGAGCAGACCTCAGACTGCTGACAGAGGAAATGGGGACCAGCCGGAGAGGCCTGGACTGAGACAGCCTGCTCCTGGGAACAGGCGGATGCTCCGGAGACACACAGTCAATGATGCCGTTGTCCCCAAGGGCCCGGAGACTGCTGGCAACCTGACCACTCCCCCAAGAGGCTAGCATTTCCCAGTCTTAACGGTAATTAAAGAATCATCCGCTGCCAGAAGTGAGTCCTCAACAAGATGCCAAGCATGAATACAGCGTAGAACTAAGTGTGCTTTCTCTTTGGCTTGAGAGAAAGGAAAGTTCTGGAAAGCTTTTCTGTGGCTGATGGAAAAAGAATGCAACAACAAAAAATTATCACCATTTCTTTCCTCTTTAAAGCTAATGAATACACTTGAAAAGGAATGGACAAAAATTCCGGTGATGTCCCGACCCTTAAGACCAGGCTGTATGCTTCTCAAGTAATTATTAAGGTTCCTTGGTTACAGTGAGAGGTTCCATCACCAGATTCTGACCTCCTACTGAAAGGTGCTAAACCTCTGTGACGTGTATAAACTAGCAAACCACAAGCTAAAAGAAATCCTCTCTCTGGGATAAGCTGAAGGAAAGCAATTTAGGTTTCATGATACTGTGGAGGCCGGGCAGAAATGCTGCATTTGAATGAAGGAAATAGGACCTGAAAAATGTCCCTTTGCAAAGCAACACTTGAACCCAAAGATGCCTAAATGCCATTTTGATGTTCACTTTAGAGAAGGACACATATGATGACACGTTCTACACTATGTATGTGGGGAAAGCTGGGTATATTTTTCCTTCCAACAAAGTACAGATGACTGACCACTGCACGTACGCACCTGGAGCAGTGTCTCTAGAAACTTCCCGTTCCGTTAAGAGCCTCCCTTTCTTTAATGTCACACCTGATGGATGGTTACTGAACTAGAAAGTAGACTTGGCACATCTTTTCTTAAGTCTTTTGATTCAGATTCAAAACTTACAGCACAAACCAGGTCAAAGTTTAAGTTAGGATTTATTGCCATTTATTCCTTTTTATAAATTTCTATAGATTTTACTCTTATTTTTTTATGTTATTAATTGGTCTAGAGCTGCAAACACGGATTTGTCCTGAGTACATTTTCAAATAACTTTGTAATAGGGAAACGGTTTTGTGCACGTTCTTGGAGATACTTGCGTATGTACAGAAGGGAGGGGCTGATTATTTTTCTACAAAGTAATTTATGATTTTTAATTTTCTAATGTGCCTTGGATATGTGCCAAATGATGGGAAAGAAACAGTAAACTTTATGATTCTTGAGCGTGTTATGGTGTACTTTTTTAGTTTGTGTTGCTACGGAGAGATGTTTCTTAGCCTTTCTGCTATAAACACGTGCTTAGTATATGGAAAAAAATCTTTCCTCATTGGATCATCAGATGGACATACGTTTTATTTTTAGGTTACTGATGTGACTGAAATATGTAAACTGGATCATTCAGAGCAGATCATTATCCAACTACCTTGAAAAGGGCTAATCTAAGCCAGTAGGCAAAGTGCCTAACACAAAAGTGCTTTCTAACATCAGAACAACAAAAAAAGAATATAGCTTTTTAGCCCAAACAGAAAATAGTTCTTTGTTCCGATTCACCTCCTTTCCCCCACTTTTCAACAAGACCACCTTACTGACTACGCTGCTCGGTTCCTCTGTCATCCTGACCGAGAGGCCACCTCCTATGCAGTTTATCAGCACAGCCATTTCCAGGCTGCAAGTATGTATTATTTGATACCACCTAACTTTGGTGGCGGTGCAATGTAATTTTGAGAACTTTCACGTATACCCCCAGTTAATTCTAACAGTTGCACTGGCTGGTAGAACTGTCAAACGAGGAAACAGTTTCATGGAAGTAAGGAGGCTGGTCTGCTTGTACTGTCAGAGCTGGGGTCAAGGCCTGACTGGTGGTGTCATCTGAATTGGCCGTTTCCAGCTTGGTGCGCCCTTCCTCTGGAGTAACACCATGAATGGGACTGTCAGTCTTGGGGGAGAAGATTCCTCTTAAGCTACTCTGGTAAATAGCAGCGTGGGCAGTATGAGATGATTACCTCAGTTATTTTAAAAAATACGTGTGTTTTTCTCCAGTTACTTTCCCACTTAAAACTAAATTTGATTTGGCAACTCAAGAAGTTAGTAATGCTCAGGTTTCTGTTTTGTGTACAAATATTTTGAATTCAAAGTGTTATCAGTTAAACTTTTAAATTAGAAAGTTTAGAATAACTGCTCCCCAGATGGAAACGTACCCCACCCCCTTGATGTCGTCAAGAACCTCTATCCCTGTACAGAGTCACTTTCATTCTCAAGTGTCTTTTGAAGAACAGGAGTTTGACTTTTTTTTTTTCAAATGGACATACTGGGGATTGAACCCAGGACCTTGTGCACACTAGGTATGCGCTCAACCACTGAGCTATACTCCCCACCCCCAGGAGTTTGACAATCTTTAAACACATTCACATCAGTACTTGCCATCAGGACAGTGGTTATTCTGCAAAAGAAAGCGTGTAGCAAAACTTGTTGAGAACTGTCTAGATTCCCTCCAGCATTTTCATGTAAATGAGACATAAAACAAAACTTACCTGTAATTGGGGTTTTTTTCCAAAATCCTTCATCAGCTTTTACTTTTGATGATTTATTCTGTTCCTCTGAAAAATTTTTGATGTTCTTAATGGTTCTAATCATTTGTTTAATCAGAAATACTAGACATTTATTACAACACCAACTTTCTTCACTGTCTATGGTTACAAATTTCAAGTCTCAAATACAGTAAAATCTCAAATATACTTTAAACATGTGTCAGCAGTGTACTAGCTAAAGCAGAGACTGGGACTGTAAAGCACACTTCCCATCACTTTCCTGCTACTGATCATCTCATCTCATTAAACGTTATGAACTTCCTCCTGGGTTAGGTCTCACAGGACTTAAGACATCTACCAGGTTACACCAAACAGCTTACCTGAGAGTTAAGTTTATGATTAAAATTTATGAGCAAACTTTTTCAGAACCTGGTGGGGATACAGCACAATATGAGAGATGACATTTGCTTTAAGTTACCTGCAACCTTATCGGTGAAGGACATTTCTAGGAGAGGAGGGTATAGCTCAGTGGTAGAGTGCCGGCTTAGCATGTACGAGGTCCTGGGTTTTAAATAAAATAATAAACAAACCTAATTACACTCTCCCCCTGCCCGAAAAGAAAAAAAAACAAAAATAATGAAAAAAAATACTTAAAAAAAGAAGACCCAGAACATTACTACCAAAATGTTTAACTGCTAAACGCACTGGATTTTAATCATTAGAAATCATTTCTCTCACAGACATGTTTGTCAGGGTTCAAGTACTATTATCAGCATGTCCCCGTTACTTTTGTTATTTTTTTCCAATGGATATATCCTCTAGTTACAGAGGTGGTTTGGATAAGGATAATATTTAGACTCGATGCCTTTGAAAAGCAGATTATAAATGAAACCAAAGCTAGGAATTTCCTTACATTAAACATAAGTACCATCTGCAGGAAGAACAGCAGCCTTCCTGCCGTGGCCTGGAAATGCTAAAGCAGACTCGGCTTAACCCACGAGTCTTAGCTCCCGTGATGTTCCCAGGCCGCTGCTGTTTCCTTACTGAAGACTGCTTGAAGCTTTTATTTCTGCTAAGGCCATTTTCCTAACAGTAATGTCACAGTTACAAAGGATATATTCATGCTGCTACACATGTTCTTGAACTTCTGATGGGAAAGGAAAAAAATTAAAAATGCAGATCTTCTGTTCATTCAGCTACAGTAGTAAAACAACTGTGCCCAGTTTGTTTAATTTTGCATAACAAGTTTATTTTTAAAAGGTATATAGACAATAAACAAAGAAAACACTCAACCAGATCTTAACTTCAGCCAAGTATTATCTATCCTAGAACTGTTCCATCAAGTTCCAGTCTCTAAACATCGTAAATTCAATAATCATCGTCTTCATCAGAGTCCATTACTTTTCTTCTGTTGAACTAGGGGGGAAATTAAATGAGCATCATAACATGTTTAATAAAGTATAACTCATTTTCTGAGAAGACAAATTTCTACTACTATAGCAAGACATTCTTGTCTTTAAAACAACGTTAAGTGTTTAAGATCTAAGGGGAGGGGAAACAACAGAAGAGCCTTAAAAATAGACTCTCAATATATGCAGCCTTTCTCCCCAAACTTCCCTGTTGTAAGATGAAAATGTCTGTGGGCTGAAATATCTTTTTTGACACAGTAGACGCATATGCAATGCTTTTTTAAAAATATCAACCCTTCTTTTGCCGTGTGCATTTGGGGAAACTTACTTTAACTGTTGTTTTCTTTTCTGTTTGTTGGCTTACTTTTTCGAGGATTTCTATTAAACCTTGTTCTGATACCTAGAATAACCAGAAAGAAAAACAGTACTTTTTAAAAAACAAAGAACTGACCTCAGCAGACTGAATCATTTCAGTCCTTCCAGGGTGTGGGCGTAGAGGTCAAGAGGGAAGGAGAGCGCGACAGCGGGCTGAAACTACTGGCCATAACTCTTGGTTTAAGTTCCACATAACATCTACTCTGCTGGCCTTCATTTGAGATGGGAGGAAAAGTATTCATCAGTTAGCTTCCTTGGAACACCCAAAGTTAAACAGGTATTTCAGAACACCTTTATCAGCACTAGCAGACAAGGACACCACCTACACCACTATCTTAAGTGTCAGGGATAGAGACACAGCTTCTGCCCTTGAAACCTCGAGAAGTTTAGAAGCAGGAGACAAGTCAGTCAAAAAAGATGAACCACTGTTCGTCTCTTCCACACACATTCTCAGTGAAAGGGGTTCAGTGGGGGCTGATCCCTGCAGGTTGGCGGCAGCAGAGGGCTTCCCAGTGCAGGTGAGGCTCGTCTGGATCTTGAAGGCACAGCTCCGGGTTGCCAGAATGTCCCACCATGCCATTACAGCAATGCACATAATAACCAGGAATTTCAGCACCTCCTCATTTGCAAAACAAGCATAACTTTGCCTATGAATTAGCATTATTGACAACCCTTGTTTCCAGTGTAGAAGCAGCTTAAGTTGGCAGCCCCTAACAGTCACTGGTTCCCATATATGGAACGCTAACAAGGTTCCACAGTGACGTCAGGAAGGAAGCAGAGGATTTTGGGAAAAATAAAAGGTATCTTTCAGGATCTACAGTAGATACAACTATTCTCTCCTTTAAAAACAAGAATTCTGTAGCCAGAAAAAGATGAAATTGACCTTCTGAAGATATGTTTTGAGAAAGTAGGTAACAACAGGTTAAAACCGCCTCCAGGCAGTCCAAGCTTACCTTCCCACTTAGTTGTCCGTATCGCGCCATCTGTATGAGGTAATTCTCTACTGCTTTAGTTTTCTCAGGCTTTACAAGTGCTAAGTTACTTACTAAAAAGGAAAAAAAAAATAGACACACATACCCAAAAAGAAGTCAAAATTAAATGTCTTAACATTACACCTAGTAACTAAGCACTGACGTTTCCAAAGCACTTCATACTTACATCTGTCTTGAGACTAGCAAGGCAGAGAGGGCAGGGGCTACTGTTACTCCTCTTAAAATGAGGAAACTTAAGTCTGGCTGTGTTAAACTCAGTTAAGACCACACAGAGGTAGTGGTAGAGCTAAGATTAAACCTGCATCCTCAGATGCTAAGCCCCATGCTTTCAAATATATATATGTGTGTTTGTGTATATATTTATTTTTTAATACATATAATCACGTATATATGATTGCCTTCTGGAAAGCAATTTACATATCACTACGAATACATACTCGCAGTGATCCATCTAAGGCTGCCTCTTCCAAGCTGGGCTTCAAGTTACAATACAGGAGATGTTGGTTCATTCTGAATTGGCTCATTTAATTTTTTTTCTACCTGATTTTCATTATGAAAAATTATGAACATACCTAAAGCAGAGAATACAGGCATGCCTTTTTTTATTAAGCTTCACTTTTTGCGTGTCATACTGTTTTTTGTTTTTTTTACAGATGAAGGTTTGTGGCAGCCCTGCCATTTTTCCAACAGCATTTGCTCACTTCATGTCTTTGTGTCATATGTTGGTAATTCTGGTAATATTTCAAACTTTCTATTATTATATTTGTTATGGTGATCTGTGACCAGTGATCTTTGATGTTACTACTGCAAAAAGATCATGACTCACTGAAGACTCAGATGACAGTTAGCATTTTTTAATAAGCTATTTTTAAGTTAAGGTATGCACACTTTTTTTAGACATAATGTTACTGCACACTTAACAGACTGCAGTACAGTGTGAACTTAACTTTTATATACAAAAAATCTGCATGACTTGCTTTATTGTGGGAGTCTGGAACCAACACCGCAGTATCTCCAAGGTCTGCCTATACAACCTGAGCCCCCATCACCCGTGTCAATTACCGGCAACATTTTGTGACTAACCCGATGTAAGAGTTGTTTCCTATACATTTTACCTAGTATAGTCAGTCATCCCTTGGTATCCGCAAGACATTGGTCCCAATACCCCCTGAGAATAACAAAATCCATGGACGCTCAAGTCCCTTACATAAAATGGTGTAGTACAATCAGCCCTCTGTACCTGTGGATTCTGACCCCACAGATGCGGAGAGCCAACTGTATGCACTTGGTAAGAGAGAACAGAGCTGGTACTTTTAATAATAAAGATTTAAGTACATTTCTTTAGGTTTATAAATGTCACACTTCTTACACATAATCTATCTTGCATGTTTTTTAGGTTACAAGAATATTAAATCTAGAAAGAGCAATAATTTCATACATATATCTCCATACTCAAATAACTCAAGTCAATTTTATGGAAACAAAGAAAACTGAAGATGCTTACGGCGGGCCCGGGCTGACTGGTCCAGAACTTGGGCTAAAATACTGTTTCTCATTTCTGCTTCCCTACAACAAAAACAGGTCAAGCAAAATTAGAACTAGGCTGTCAGCACGCCTACTAAACACAGAGAAATGTAATGAGTCCATTCTTAGCCTCAAAGGCCAGCTTTATACCATGTGAGTGTAAACCTATGAAACTGACAGGTAAAATTTCACATTTGCATAATTCAGGGTGGAGTTTCAGTTCAACCACCATTATAAACATTTATTAAGTGCCTAGTGTGTGAGAGGTGTTAGAAATTTATAGTGAGATTTCAGGCAATTATAAGGACCTAGTGATTAATCCGTGTCATTTTCTCAGAGATGAAGCAGCTGAGATCCACAGGGGTCGTGTTAAGGAGACATAGGTAACTGTGGCCAAGGTAGGACCAGATCCCATGTTTCAAGACTCTCGGTTCTAGTTTTGGGGTAGGGAAGGGAGTGAAACTGTAACTCTGTTCCTATCCTTGCATCTTCCTACCTATCCAAGTAGGAACTAATTCATGTTCATAAGACAGCAGTTTCAATTTTTTCTTAAGCAGCAGAAACTGTTTTTCAAATGAAATCCTTCAAGGAACTTAATACATACACCAGGCAAAAGAAGAGATTCTTTGGCCGAATGAGAAGGGGAGTTGGGGCTGGCTGTGCCTAAATGCCCCCATCTGAGGACCCTAGGGCTCACGGACCAGAGGCCACTTCCATAGGCCACTGCCTTATTGCTCCTCAGTACTTCGATCCTGCCACAAACTAGTACTATATTTCACTGCATCTAAGATGCCATCGACTGTAAGATACTGCATAGTATTCTGTATCTCTAAGAATGAAAAACACCCTGGATGAAATGTCTAAGAGGAGACCCTCACTCAAAGCTGGGGCATGAAAGAGCAACATCCTCAGTACAAGGTAAACAAGAAATAAACGCGCCATGCAGAAAGGGACAGCAAGGATGTGTGCATGCATCAATTTTGGCCCTGAGTGGAGGAAGAAAAAGTGCCTCTGAGAATTTAAATTTCAAGCTTTAGTCCTGTAGGTCTGCTGTCTGAATTCTCGGTACCGGGGTGGAGGAAGGGGGAACCTCAAGCAGAGAATTTTAAAAGGTCTCAGGTTAGAAACGATCCAAATGATGGCAGAAGCAAAAGTAAATCCTTTCTGGAAGAATCCAGGACAAGAGCAATAGAGGACGAGACACATTCAAACTTCAGATACGTCACAATGTGAAAAAAAAATTCTCATCTTTAGAATTCATTCATGTAGTAGTTTTTTTTTCCTCTCAGCGCTATCCCAGGTGCTTACCATCTGGCTTCTCCCACGAATGCAATCTATGTAAGGGCAGGAACCCTCTCCACCTTGCCTATTTCTGTAGACCCAGCACGGTGCCTGGCCCAGAGCAGGTGCTTAGTGAGCATCTGCTGAATGAAGGAATGAGTTAAAAGATAGTGTGGTGGGAGAAGGGGAAATGGGGAGTTGTTTAATAGGTATAGTTTCAGTGCTGCAAGATGGAAAAGTTTTAGAGATCTGCTGCACAATAATTGAGAATACAATTAATAAAAATAGTTAAGATGGTAAATTTTACCTTATGTGTTAACACAGTTAGGAAGAAAAGATAGCATGATGGTGTAACTAGGCACTCTTTCAATAAACCTGCCAAGTGTGAGGTGCTCTGCCACGTGCTGGGACAAAGTAACCATGAAAACAGAGTCAGAGTCAGTATTTATTGAGCACTTACTACACGTGAAGCACTGTACCCATGCAAGCCTCACAACATCCCCATGAGACAGTCCTATCATTATGCCTATTTTAAGGTAATCACAGTTTAGCAGAGAAACAAACATCAACCAGTAACTGCAATACAACATAGTAAGTCATGCAGGGTTCCACACCTGTTTGTTTAATTAATAGCGAAGACATCCTGAGTTTTGAAAAAATCACTATGCCAAGAAAAACTTTGAACATTCACACAACTATTAAAATAACTAAAGTTAAAAAAAAATGGGGGGCAGGTTAGGGTATATAGTTCAGCAGTAGAGTGCATGCTTAGCATGCAAGAGGTCCTGGGTTCACTCCCCAGGACCTCCATTAAAAAATAAAATAAATAAACCTAATTACCACCACCTCCCTCACCAAAATTTTGGTAACACCACCCTTCAAAAAGTTCAGAGTTCCAGCCCATACCTGTGCTTTGCCTCCTGTTGTGCTGCATCGCCAGGATCCTGAAAAAATAATTTTATCCTTTAGTTGAGTAATTTCAGAGGAAAAATAGTAGGCATTCTATTTTCTTTTTTCAATACCATTTTCTCAGCCACGATTCGCTCTTTGCAATGGCTCTAGGTACCCTGTAGGAGACTATCTTTTGACACTTAACATCCTTTCCCACTCCTTTCTTTCTTTCATTTCTTTTAGTGGAGGTACTGCGGGTTGAACCCACGACCTAGTGCATGCTAGTCATGCGCGCTACCACTGAGCTACACCGTTCCCCCTCTATTTTGTTTCTGGTGCCTAAGGTACAGGCTGCTGCATAGGTAGAGACGACTTACCAAATAGTTAGAAGCTGGACGTCACAGAAGTCAGAGGGATAGTTTCCACTTACTACAACGTTTTGAAAAGCTTCTAAGGTCACAATCTAATAGAATGTCTTAGAATACAACCAGCCATTAGGGAGAAGAGTCCCTGTACTACGAAGCCGTATTTGAAGTGTTAAGAATATTTCTTGGAAAAGAAAATGGACTTCGGTACTGGGGACGCTGTGGACTCAAACAGCACTTCGTTCCCGACCGTCCCGCTCGATCCCTAACACTTTCCTCTCCCTCTCTTTATGGGAGGGTCGCTACTTGGGCGTTTTATCTACGGGATTAGTGTCTAGTGCCCAGCCCCTCCCCGGGACTGTCAACTCCGACAGAGTGGATGCTCCCCGATGTACGCTCGGCACCTGGCAAACAGCAGAAGCTCAAAAAATGTTTGCCGACCACTTGGGTCAGAACAACTTAACTGGAGAAGACATTCGGCTGGAACAGTAGACGAGCTAGATCCAAGAGCTAAGGGCACCGAAAAGACCCGAGTGGCTGAGCATTCTGTTTGGGACCAACGCCAGCCCGGGCGAGACCGACCCCCTGCCCGGGGAGACCCCCGCGCCCGACCCGCCCGTGGCAGCACGTGGTCGGCTTGCCGCCCGAGCCCCGATGCTACTGAGAGAGGAGCCGAGCCGGCTAGGAGGCGGCCAGGAGGCCGCCGGGGACAGAGGCGGGACCCTCGGCCCGCGGGGAGAGCACGGGCGGCGGCGCTCGGAGCCTCCGCCGGAGGCCGCGCCCTCCACCTCGGGCGAGGGCGGCGCCCGGCAGGGGACGGGCCCGGCGGGCGGCGGGCACGCTCACCCCGTGCTTCGCCTGCAGCTCGGCCAGCCTCTGCTTCCTCAGCGCCTCGAGCTCCTCCTCCGCCATGGTGCGGCCGTCCAGGGCGAGCAGCCGCGGCCACGCTCCGGCCCACTCCGCGGGAACTCCGGCAGCCCCCCTCGGCGCGCGCGCGCGTGCGGCCCTCCAAACTGCGCAGGCGCCCGCAGCGCCCAGGCATCAACAATCCAGCCCGGAGCCGCGCCGCCCGCCCCGGCCAGGGCGCGGGGAGAGGCCCGATTCCGCGATCGCAGGCGTTGGGACGGGGGGGCCGAACCGCTGAGCCGCGCCTTGTCTACCTGAGTCCCGCCTCCCCGCCTCAAATCCGTGCTCTGCGCGCGCGGGCGTCGGCCGCGTGGATCCCGCTGCGTGTTGGAAAAGATAGTAATCTAGAAACAGGCCTTCACCAGCAAGTGTAAAGATAATAGGTAAAACTTGTTAGTGGCCTATAACGTTCGAGGTTTCTGTTATCTCCATTTACAGACGAGGATCCAGGGGCTTAGAAAGGCTGAGTGGAGTGACAAGAAATGTGCTAAACCTGGATGGTGGTGATGGTTGCACAGTTCTTAAATTTGCTCAAAAATATTAAATTGTGCACTTAAAATGGGTTGGGGGGAGCTGGAGCAAGAAGAGACTCGCTTGTCACCCTGCTGTTAAGAAGCCAAGTCGAAACAAACTTGGAGACTCAGATTTTCCTCAGGCGGGGGCTGTGGGATGTGGTGTGAAGCGCGCGCGCGCACACACACACACAC